TAAATTTATTTTTGAATATTTTTCTGATGATAATACATTGAAAGCGTTTTAAAAATATTTAAATATTTTTTAAAAACGTTTTCATACATTTTTTATTTTAAAAGTATAGAAATTATGATTTGCACACACTTGAATATTTCTACTTTTTAGTGTTTATTTTTTTTTAATCACTTTTTGGCAACGCTTAATTTTACAACGATATCGAGGGAGATGTATTGTAAATTAGTCATACGCTTTTATGTTAGCTTCATCTGTTTTCTAGGAGTATATAACCATTTCCTTGGTCACCGTAACGTCGTTATCTTCCGGGAGTCGTATCTCCAGCTGTAATAAAACACTTTTCCCCTTCTGTTTCTCTTTTCTCATACCGGCTTTATGCCCTTACAGCCAACTTTATCTCATCTTATCTCTACACATTGCTTGACCTTTCCTCTTACATCCCACTGTTTTCGCCTGTCCACTCGTATGTTGTTTCTCGTTCCTCTATCTCTCTTCCGTGAATGCTCTCACGTACGTTCCTCTTCTCATTTTCATTTCCCTTTTTCTTTATCCGTCTGACCACCGTCAAGCGTGAGCTACTTGCTCGTGTCAAAATTGATCGCGTGCTGGATGATATTGACTATACGTGTGCTATTACACACAGCAGGCAGATTGCATTTAAATCTTCCTGACGCGTTTGTCGTTACAGAGCAATCGCTATGGATGATCTTTTTGCGGAAATTACGATAGACGCGGTTTTGTCTGCGGCGCGTGGAATGCGAGAAGAAGAGAGAAACCGCGTGCCAGTATTCGACGAGAGAATGCGAATTGTTGTTCTCTTTCATTTTTTCGCTCCTACATCACGGCTCACACGATTTCCACGAACCATGGTGCGTGTGCACGACTGTCCTGAAGGCTAATGCAATGATATGTATTGAGGAATGATCGCTCATTATGGGGACCGGTTGAGTCTTCGAGTGTATGAGTGATAGGTAAAATTGGTCGGGATCAGATGGCGCCGGGATATATCGCTGCTTGTTTTCACGTTAACAAAGCTCATAAAGCAAAATCACTATATTAATATCGGCGAAAAAGAAGGTATAAGTACAGTGCTGGACTCACCTGTTTTGCGCCTGTGGACTGAAATATTTCAAGCGCCTTTTTATACATGATTCATCTGGATAAATTTTTTTTTAAAGTTACCTATATTAGATTAATTAAAAAATTGATTTTCTCGAGACTTTATTTTAAAAAAATCCTTTATTTATTTTGATTCAAGTAAAAGTAAAAATCAAAAATTGAAAAATATGAACAGAAAGTATGAATAAATTATATTAAAATGTTTCTTTTGCATTTTAACGTAAAAAATTGATCGATAACATCGTCGTAATTTAAATTTATGGTAATATCAGATTCAATATGAAGAATGGAAAGCTTATTAAATCTTTCTTATTGCGTAGTTGAACGTAGATAATTTTTTGCTTTCTTTACGATGGAGAAACTATGTCCCTTGCAATTAGTGCTTGCAATACAAAAACACAATCGAAAGATGACATTGATTGTGTGTATGTTTGGATATATATACAGTATTTAATTAAAAATCAAGAAACCAATTATATAAATAAATCATTTATGAATAATTTGAATCTAGTGCAAACTTAATAAGGCCCGATTATCAATGTTATTTTGATTAAGCGAAGCCTAAAACTCTCTCCCTCTCTGCCTCTCTCTCGATTTAAAAAAAAGAAAGATTTTTAAGCTTTATTTAAAAGAAACGTTGCAATTGGGCCTAATTAGCAATACTAAGAACAAATTCTGTCGTCCTTAAAAATTTCGCTGTCTTGAGTCATAGTTTGTTCAGCCTTAATCAGATACTGCACAAATAAGGCATGAAAATACGGCATCGTACATCGCTAGATTTCAAAAGAGCAATGGTAACCCTTGAGTTAAAAATAACAAAATGTATCGAGTATATGTAATGAGTTAAAAATAACAGTTTGTTTTTTAACTTTTATGTGTATCAAAATGAAAAATCAATCTTATAGATAGTTTAAAAGTAAACAACATCCATATTAATGTACACATCAATAAATAAGAAATTAAATTTGAGTTGAATTTAATATATTTTCTTGAGTTAAATTGTTTAATTGCATTGTATTTTGATTGACGATATATTGAATAAGTGGCGACCTATAGAAATGATTAAAAATAATTCAAATTGGATTGGAAAATAATATAATTTGACATTATAATTTGACATTATTAATGTTGAATTTAGCAATTTTTTTCTTGATACATACACACACACACACACATACACACACACACACACACACACACACACACACACTCTTGCTCCACTCCCAAGACGAATATCCAAGAATGTCATCGGGCAAAAGAACAGGAACGGGCGCAGTACACCTTGCGCAATGATACAAACAGCAATCGTTCCAAACTTATTATCGCCAGTAAGAAACTCATAAATGCTTATGACTTGCTTGCTGGTTTTTGCTATAGCATTCGTACGATCCAGTTAAAGCGACGTTTCGCCGGATTGACTCGGCAACCAGCTGGAGATAAACTCCAGCGTGGAGAAGCTGAAGGAGATTCGCCACGTCCCCGCCGTGTGTTGCGGGACAGAGCGAGAGAGAAAAAGGAGACAAATAAGAATAGCGAAGAGAGACAGAACGATAAGGCAAGGGGGTGAGAGAATGGGAATACAAAGAAGAGGTGGAGGAGCCTGGGGAGTCCCTTCAACGTCATTTGTAATACCGGATGGCCTAATGATGCGACTGGTCGTGACAGGACGGGAATAAGAGTGGAAGCGTGCGAGCGCGTTGGAGATTCACCGTGGATCTCCTCGCTGCGTCGCGTA